AGCGTATGGTTAAACGGGTGGATATGCGGAGGACAGCGTGCCTCTTTGCGCAACCCCGAAAGCAATATATCGATGTTTAGCAACCAATAAACGGATCCCTCAAAGAGGGCTTTTACCGTAAAACGCCGGTGCTTCGACGTCTCGTTCCTTCCATAGATGTGCACCGACACATCCTCCGTTTCCAACTGTACCGGTGTACGTTAACGGTGGCAACCGAAGCACGCCGCTTTTATGGCTCAAAGTAAACGCATTTATAGAGCCATTTTGCCACCATCGCGTCGCGTCGGCGTAACCTCGCCAGCGACCATTTAACGCTGCTTTTATGATAATCTTATCAATAGCCCGACCACCCTCTTTCCTTCTCGCGATCACCTGTCTCTATTTACCTATTATTTACGACATACGTCTATCATTCACTTGTCCAGCGAACCTCTCTCACCGTTTTCACTAAAAACACCACGCTTTTTCGCCCGCCACGGATGATATTATAACCGTATCGATAAACTCCATTCGAAAACAATTTCTGCGTCGTTTGATAAGCGGTTAAGCAGCGCTATCTTTGCGCAAAACATGTTTTTTCCTAGCGTAGGTATTCCCTTGAAAGTAGTGGAAACAACTTGAGCGGTGGTGATTAGCCTCTTTTTATCTTTCCGCGGTATAAGAGGGCTACGAGCATAAGAAATTCCGTTGTATAGCCTGTGTAGGACATCTCGGTGTCAGGAGGTCCGTGTTTTTTTTACGCCTGTATAATAAAATTTCGTATACCGGCTGGAGCAGGCGAGGGAGAAAGAATCAAGTAGCTCTGGCTGACACGGGGGCCAGGGATCCTTAAAGGCGCTCTTATATCGTTCCCGGTGTCACTCGCAGCTTCTTCATAATTCTTTCTACAGTCTACATCCGTAGGTATTATAAATACGCGAACGGATCATTGGCAACACGGTAGCTCGTATGTACGTGCGCGAAACGCGTAGGAGCGCTCGCAAACACACATACACGTGCATAGAGGATCCAGGAGGGAGACCATTGTACGAATCAGCTTCCTGGAGGGACAGAACGACAAGAAAGAAGAAAGGCGGTGGTCCGGAAGGGGTGGTAGAAGAGGTTGAGAGTAAGTAGAGGGATGACGAGGATGGTAACGGGAGAAAGAAGCCGGAACGAAGGAAAATGGGGGGGTTTGTTGGTGAAACTCTGCTAGAAGCTTGCTGACCAGTGGGCAGTGGTCTTGACGTATGTGCGTACTAGCGGTGGAAAAGGCAGCTTGCACGGTGCAGCGTTCGTAGGTTCGCCCACACCCAGGATTTCGGGGGAGAATCCTTGAAAACCGGAGACCAGAACGCGATTGGTCGGAGA